TTTCTTTCTTTCTTTCTTTCTTTCTTTCTTTCTTTCTTTCTTTCTTTCTTTCTTTCTTTCTTTCTTTCTTTCTTTCTTTCTTTCTTTCTTTTTTTCATTGCTAGCAACTAGAATAATAAAAAGAATTCTGGAGATTCTGTCTTTGGAATATTTAGCAGCATTGTGACTAACCATGTGACTTAAGTCATCTTCTAAATGATGAACTTTTATTGAACTCTAACAACTAGTCCTCTATAAAACAAGTTGTCATTCAGTTTGTTGCTATAGTCATTAAAACCTTTCAGCTGTATGGAGGTCAAACAGTACAGCATAGTAGTATTTCAGACATAGGAAGTACTTGGTGAGTTTAGTTTAAAAAATTAAATGGTTGGAAAAAAAAAGCAGTTAGAGGAAGAAGTTGCAGAGAGTCAAATTTAGATTTTTAAGTCAATAAAATGTAGGTATCTATAAATGGAATCTGCCTTAGAGGTAGTAGATTTCCCCCCATAGGAAGGGTTAAAGAAGAGGCTGGAGGACCATTTGTTGGGGTGTCTTGTAGTGGGGGTTCTTTTTCAGGTGTGGGTTGGACTAGGTGGTCATGAAAGCCCCTTAATACTCTAAAATTGTGTGACTCTTTGAAAATCACATTCTTTCCCTCAGCCTCAGTTTCCTTATTTGTAAAAATAAGAGTTTGGAATGGCCAATTTCCTGTCAGGCATGTTGCGAAGGGGACTCTTTATTGGGTATAGGTTGGACTTCATGGCCTCTGAGGTCCCTTCCATCTCTGAAATTCTATGATTTGAAGATCCCCTTGAGCTCTAAGTCTCTATGCCCTGAATGTTTCTTAGGGGAAATGGAAGGATATCTAAGCAGCTTTACATGAAGCCTGGATATGGGACTTTTATAGGCTGTAGAGATGTAAAGGACTTTTAAGATCATATAGTCCAACCACCTCATTTTCCTGATAAGGAAAATGGGGCCGAGAGAGATTAATTGACATACCAAAGGTCACACAGGTAGTAAGTGTCAGAGCTAAGGTCTGGACTTGAATCTTTGGATTTCAAATCTGATCTCTATACTCATGATGCAGAGACAAGAGTAGTTCACATTAGAGGGATTTTGATACAAATTAAGCAAAAAATATTTATTGAACATCTACATGTTTAAGACTGTGATGAGCACTGTGATTAGAAAGATAAAATAATTACAAGATATTGTTCCTGCCCTCAAGGGGCTTTCGATCTAATAGAAAGAAAAATGCCAACATTTAGGAAACAATTAGGAAAAAAGATACAAAAATGGTTAAAGTAGCATGAAGGGGAGGGGCAACTAGGTGGCCCAGTGGATAGAGCACCAGGTCTGGGGTCAGGAGGACCTGAGTTCAAATCCAGCCTCAGACACATAACACTTACTAGCTGTGTGACTCTGGGCAAGTCACTTAACCCTAATTGCCTTACAAAAAAAAAAAAAGGTAGCATGAAGGGTGACAAATGAATACAAGGAGATGGTGATCCTGCACAAAGTGTATGTTTTTTTCTTTAAAAAAAAGTTTTTTGATTTTTTTTAATATTACAAACATTTACAGATTGCTCCCACTTTTATATAGTTCTCTTGGAACAAAATTAAATAGTTAAGTAAAGCTAATATTACAGTGACCTCATCTGCAAGAGCAGGCAATATTTTACATCTGTAGCATTCCAGCTTCCCCCCCCCCCACCTTCCACCCATACACACCTCTCTATTTTGAAAAAATGAACAGAAATTAATTTTTCTCTCCTTTTTGCTTGGCTATGCATATTTATTACCAATGGAACTTATGGAATTACTTTGCCTTGTCTTGTGGAAGGAGCATCAAAGATTAGGTCCTCAGTTTTTTTTTTTTTTTGATGTTGTGAGACATTCTGGATGATTTTTGAGTTGAGACATTCTGGATGCTATCTTTTTGAACTTGATTCAGGGACTGATAAGCTACCAAGCTCTTTCAGATGCAAAAATAAGTCACTAATAAAAATGTGAGTTATTCTTTTGAATTTTGATTATGTTACCTCCTGATGTCAGTGCATTTAAGCCCTTGCTCTCATCCCCTAAGAAAGACCTGGGGTTATTTTTACTCTTGAAGTTGTAGGGAGAGCTTATCAATCTCCATGTAGTACAACAGAAAGTTGCTTTTGTATGTTTGCACCTGACTTTACCCGAACGTTGGGAAGATAATGGATTTGCTGCCCATAGGAAATAATTTATTATTTGCATCAATAAAGCACCAGGAAAGTGGGAAAGTGAGATCAATTATGAGAAAGTTTTAATAACCAAACAGTTGGATCATTTATAATTCTACAATGTGAATTGTAGGAAACCAAGAAATATGGACCCAGTTAAGAGATTTAGAGCTGGAAGGGACCTAGGAGGTCATCAAGTCCAGCCCCCCTGCTTTACAGATGAAGTAACTGAGACTAATTAAGTGACTTTTCCCAAGAACACAAAGATAGTAAATAGAAGAATCAGAATTTGGACCAAAGTGTTCTGATTATAGATCTAGAGCTTTTTCTACCTTCTAGTAGCAGAGATATTTAAATCATGCTTGACTTTAGGTTCGCTGTTCTTTTCTAGAGCTATTATTGTTTCTTACACAAAACACGGAGAAGATAACTGTCTTTCCAAAAAGTTTTCACCCAATGAACACTCAATGATTCACATTTTTGTCTCTTTTGAACAAATAGGTCTTTGCCCTTCTTTGCAAAAGGCTGTTGGTTTTGTGTATCATAATCTATGCCTTTAGAAAATGTTACTATAATTATAAAACCTTCAGATTGAATGGGACTTCAGAGCCCATCTAGACCAGGGGTGGGGAACCTTCAGTCCCAAGACTACATGTAGCACTCTAGGTCCTCAAGTGCAGCCCATTGATTGAATCCAAATGTCACAGAACAAATCCCCTTCATAAAAGGATTTGTTCTGGAAAACTTGGACTCAGTCAAAAGGCTGCACCCAAGGACCTAGAGAGCCACATATGACCTCAAAGCCAAAGGTTCCCCACCTCTGATCAAGACCAACCCTTAAGTGAACAAGCATCCCATTTATATCATATCTGACAAATGGCCATCCTGTTTCATTGCTCAAAGATTTCCAATGAGGTCAATAATGTGTTCTTTTCTCTAAAGTGTCCCTTTTGCCAGGATCACTGACTCCCTGAAAAGGAGATAGGGTGGGAGAAATGCGTGTGTGTGTGTGTGTGTGTGATACATAGAGAGGAAATGAGAGAGAGAAAGAGAGAGAGAGAGAACAAAAACAGAGAGGGGAGGGAAAAGACAAGGAAAAAGAGAATTTTGCTACAAGATCAGTATAAACATATTTTCTTTATATTTTTTGAAGTCTATTTTCCTAAAATCTAGGGTACATGTCTTCCTATGCCTAGTATTCCCTTCCTTAAAAGGCACTTAAAAGTATTACTGTTAACTTCAGTACCTCTTCATTTATTGAACAACAAATAGCTTGCCTTTTGTTAAGCACAAAGCTATGATGGAATCCTTACTTTTGAGGGTATTTTAATCTACATGTTTTAGAATATAATCATCGGGATAAATTGTAGGCAAATGCATACATGGAAGGGAAAAAATGAAGCTTGGTTGGAGAAAAGGGGAATGAAAATAACCTTCCCTTTTTACATTACCCCCCATTGTTGTTATCTAATTGTTTTCAATTATGTTCAACTCTTTGTGACTTCATTTGGAGTTTTCTTTGCAAAGATTACTGGAGTGGTTTGTCATTTCCTTTTCCAGTTCATTTTACAGATGAGGAAACTGAGGCAAACAGACTTAAGTAATCCTATCATTTGTCCACTTAGGTTACTTATAATGGATCCTAGACAAAGTGGTTTGAGAAGACAGGATGGCATGATGAAGTAGAGGATTCATGCTTTCTCTAGGTTTATCAGCTAGCTAGCCTCTTTCCTGACCACCCTTCCCTTCTCCAAGCTTCTGGAGTTCTTGGCTGGTTGCTTGGTTATTTCTTCTTTACTTCTTTCCTCCCTTTAACACTGGCTTCCTTGCTGCTCCTCGTGCAAGGCATGCCATCATTTGACCCCAGGCATTTTCATTAATTGACCCCCATACATGGAGTTTTCTCTTTCCTCTTCTCTGCCTTCTGGCTTCTCTGGCTTCCTTCATATTCCAACTAAAATCCCACAGGAAACCTTTCCCAATTCCCCCTTAACTCTAGTGCCTTCCTCTATTGTTGTTGATTGTCTTCAATTTATCCTGTATATAGCTTGTTTGTACATAATTGTTTGCATGTTGTCTCCCCCATTAGGCTGTATGCTCTGTGAAGGCAGGAGCTATTTTTGCTTTTCTTTGTATTCTCAGAGAATAAAAGCTTGTTCACTTGACGACTCTCTGAAGAATGATGGCACTTTATTTGCATGTCTTTCTGAACCATCATACTTTTCTCACAAAGTAATGTGTACAAAAATCTTGATGGACTTAACTAGAATTCTTGATAGGCTTGCGATGACCTTTGTGATTTTCACATGTTTTTCTCTGACAGGTGTTCTTTTGCATGTAATGGGAGATGCACTGGGATCTGTAGTTGTGGTGATTGCTGCTATCATATTCTATGTGCTTCCTCTGGAGGAAAATGCTCCATGTAACTGGGAGTGCTACATTGACCCAAGCCTCACTGTTATCATGGTCATCATCATTTTGTCATCTGCCTTTCCACTCATCAAGGAGACAGCATCCATTTTGCTACAGATGGTTCCCAAAGGCATCAATTTGGAAGAATTGGGTAAGTTGAGTTTAGTTTTAATCTGTGGTGCCTTTATCAATGTAATTTTAATGATAAAGATAAACATATGAACTGGACCTACAATTTCATTGATATCTCAGATGAGAAAATTCCCAATACCATGCAAGTTAGCATCTTTTCACTAATGTATAGTCTTAGTTGCCTAGAACCTATCATTGTTAAATGACTTGCCCAGGGTCACATAGCCATTGTGAGGTAGAACATGAACCCAGATCTTCCTTACTTCAAGGGCAGCTCTCTATCCACTATGCCAAACTCTCTCAATATTAATTACATAAATAGTAATATATGTGTTATTTCTGGAGAATTTTTATGTATTTGGAACTCCTCAATACTCTAGAGTTGTAGAAACTCAATCATGTGTTTGCATTCTAGCTATGTGACCCTCATGTAAAAATTTAAGTTTCCTTTCAGTTCTGTATCTCTATGAATTTTGAGAATGTAGAACTCCAAGAGTCAATACTTAGACTGTTCACCCTTATGAGATAGATCAATTGATTTCTTTTAATTTGACATGCTACTTTTATCAAGAACCTTTGCTCTTTTGCTGCTCCTAGTCTAAAAAGCATTTATGCCCTAGGTACTGCATGTTCGCTAGTTGAATTTTTATGTATGGCAAAGGTACCCTGTCTATTACAGCATGTAAGAATAGCTGGATTAAAATTCAGATCATTCCTGACCTCTTTTTGGATTGAACTGTATTTATTTGCTTAGCCGTAGGTTAAGAACTTAACCCATAGGTTTAAGTTTTGACTTTGGTATAGGTTGTGTAAATCTGAGTTCAAGATATGAGCATACATATGCATATATATGTAAACATATATATATAATATATATTTAATGTTAATGAAATGACTGTGCAAATATCCAAATGTTGTCAAGGGAAAGATTATGCCTTTATTCAGACTATAACTGCAATAAAATAAGAAAATGGAATATATTCTATACAGTACATGGTTTCTTTAAATAAATTTTTAAGTTTTATCTTTTTTTTATATCACCAAAATTTTCCCCAGTATTTCTCCCCTTCTTTCCCCCAGAGAGCTATCCCATATGAAAAAATAATATCCTTAAGAACAAAAAGAAAAGGAAAAAGTAAGCAAAACTGATCAATATGTTAAAAAAAATTTGCACATCTATGTAATGTACCCAAGTTGTGGACCTTGTACCTTTGCAAATGGGTGAGCTGGGAATGTCTTCTCGTATCTTCTTTGTTTTTTTGTTTTTTGTTTTGCTTTTGGCTAGGCAATGGGGTTAAGTGACTTGCCCAGGGTCACACAGCTAGGGAGTGTTATGTGTCTGAGACTGGATTTGAACTCAGGTCCTCCTGACTCCAGGGGCGGTGCTCTATCCACTGCACCACCTAGCTGCCCCTCGTATCTTATTTGGAAGTAGGCTTGTTTATGATTTTTCAGCATTCACTATTGGTTGTTTTGTGGTCATTCTTTCCCTTTACATTGTTGTAGTCATTATGCATATTGTTTTCTTGGCTTGTACAGATTTATTATTGCTGCATTTACCAGTGCAGTATCTAATGTTGAACTAGTCAACTAACCAACATTTATCAAGCCTTGGGTGGCACAATGGATAAAGTGTCACATCTGGAATCAGAAAGACATGAATCAAAATCTGACCTCAGATAGTTACTAGCTGTGTGATCCTGGGCAAGTCACTTAACTTTTGTTTGCCTCAGTTTCCTCAACTGTTAAATAGGTTTAATAATAGTACCTGCCAGTAGGGTTGTTAATGAGATATTTGTAAAAAATGTTTAGTACAGTGCCTGACACATAGTAGGCATTAAATAAAGGCTTATTCCCTTTCCTTCCCCATTCTCTTATTATGTGTCAGGCACTATGATAGGCAGTAGGGATAGAAAAATACAAATTAAACAGTTTCTGCCCTCAAAGAGCTTACATTCTATTGAGGAGACAACATGTGCACATAGGTGTATACAAAATGTATTTAAGAAAGGAAATATAGGGGCCGCTAGGTGGCGCACTGGCCCTGGAGTCAGGAGGACCTGAGTTCAAATGTGGCCACAGACATTTGACACTTATTAGCTGTGTGTCCCTGAGCAAGTCACTTAACCCTGATTGCTTCACCAAAAAGCAAAAAAAAAAAAAAAAAAAGAAATGAAATATGACCCATAGAAAAGATGGAGATAGTATTAATAACTATGACATTTGACTAGTAACCTAGCCAATGGGACAGTGAGTCCCACTATGGGACTATGATATTATAAAGATTAGTCTGCTTTCTTGGTTAGCTCAGATGCTAACATGGAGGTATGAGGACCCTCCATCTCCAAACTCTGGACATTTCCACTGGCTTTCTCCCATGCCTCAAATTCTCTCCCTCCTCATCTTCACCTCCTGGCTTTCTAGGTTTCCTTCAAGTCTCAGATAAAACTCCACCTTGTACAAGAAGTCTTTCCCAACCCCTCTTAATTCTAGTACTTGATCTCTGTTGATTATTTCCATTTTCTCCTGCATATAGCTTGTTTGTACACTGATGTTTGCATGTTGTTTCCCCCACTGGTCTATGAGGTCCTTGAGGAAACCTTTGTTTGTATTCCTTCCTCTTACCACAGTGCCTGGAACACAGTAGACACTTAATACATTTTTTACTGACTGATTAACTTTCCATGACAGACCCTTGCCCTGTATGTAGATACTGCCATTGGAATCTATATAGCACTTTACTAAATTGTATGGCTTACCCCAAGAATTTAAATAAGCAACACTTTTCAGTGTCATCCCTTTAGAAAGATTATTGAAATAACAATAAATGTACATTTGAATAGACCTTTATAACTTTCAATATTCTTCCCAGTGCTTTGTTTAATTTCATCCTTACAATAACTAGGGTAGGCAGAGCAGGGATTAGAAAACTGAGCCTTAAAACTTGTGACTAGTGACAAAGCTAGGATAAGGACCTATGTCTTTTGACCCTGTCCAATACTCATCCCCCTTTGTATTGTTAACTATAGCTATAGAGGTCTAAAAGCCCTGTGGTTATTTTATTTCAAAGACTAGCAGTCAATCAAATATAGCAATTTTATTGAATACTATGCATGGGTACAACATGCCCTAGTGTTGTGGGAATGATCGACAATGCCTCTCCCATGCCTGAAATGTACTCCTACCCCACCTCCACCACACGGAATCTCTGGTGTCCTTTAAAGCTTAGTGCTACCTTCTACAGGAAATCTATCCTGATCTCCCCAGTTGCTGATATCTTCCTAGAGATTACTTTGTATCTACACTGTACATACTTTGCATTGAATTTTCTGTGTACCTACCTGTTTTCCCCAATAGAGTGTAAACCCCATGCAGGCAAGGACTGTTTCTTTTTTCTTTTTTTTGCAGTTGTATTTCTATCACCTAGCAGAGTGCCTGGCACATAGCAGGCATTTAATACATGCTTTTTGAATGAATGAATGAATGAAAGACCTGGTCTTTAGGAACTTACAATCTAGTTAGACAAAACTGAAGGCACATGAGAAACAGTTAAATAACAGCATAAGGCAATATATTATGACATGCAAAAATTGATGTTAGCATCATCATGTACTGTGGGAGTTCAGAGAAAAAGAGAGTTCACCTTGAACAAAGCCCAAGCATTGCCTTATGTGAAGGCTTTCTCTAATACCCACCCCTTCGAACCATCTTGGATTTAACTACTTTATGGAGAAGTCATACAGGGCAAGTGTTCACATGGTGATCAGAAGAAGCAATACAAGGACACTCTCCAGGTGTGTTTTAAGAACTTTGGAATTGATTGTGTGACATGGGAGACACTGGTGCAGGACTGCTCAGCATGGCACGCCCACGTCAGAGAAGGTGCTATGCTCTATGAGCAAAGCAGAATTGAAATAGTTCAAAAGAAACACAAGATGAGCAGATTTAGAGAATCCACCCCAAATGTTCACGTGGTCTATTTGTACCCGACCCGTGGTAGAACATTCCAAGCTCATGTTGGTCTGATCCGCCACAGTCGGACACACTGTAACTTGACTCTAGCATAAAGATGTCATTTTGGTCCTCTTTGAGAACAAAGGACAGCAATCATTTAAATACTTTGTATTTGTCCTTATTCTCTTCATGCTTATTCCATATATACTTATATATGTACTTGTCTCCGTATTGGAATGTAAACTTCCTGTGAGTAGGGAAAATTTTATTAATTGTATTTGTATCCTTAGCGCCTAACACAAATGGCTAGAAGATACTGGGCACTTAACACTTGTTGATTTTTGATATAGTGTGCTATAGTGGAAGGAATGCTGAAGAGAGAGACCTTACTTTGGATTCAAATTCCAGCTACAATGTCTAATGACTCTTTGATCTAGAGCAAAGTACTTAATTCTCGGAGCTTCAGTTTCCTCATCTATATAATGGGGACAATAATACTTATATTATACACTTTTGAAATTATTATGAACAAAGTGCTTTGTAAACCTTAAAATATTATGGAAATAAGAGGGGGAGATATCTGTTTGAAGCATAATTAACTTTTTTTTTACTTGTAGTAAGAGTTTTCTTACCTGGTAAGGGCTGATTTAAACCAAGATATAAATAAGAGTATTTAAATGGGCCTCACGTGTATTTTAGTTCTGTTGGTCAGAACTCTTGTTTAGTAACTGTTTTTTACTATCTTTATAAAATTCTCAGATTCTTAATCCTGGTATTCATCAGTATAGTATTTGCTCTTCTGTCTTCTAGTGGGCAAGCTATCCAATGTGCCCGGAGTTAACAGCATACATGAAGTGCATGTCTGGGAACTTGTAAGTGGGAAGAACATTGCCACTCTCCACATTAAGTGCCGAAAGAGCAAAGATTACAAAGATGCCAATTTCAAAATGCGAGAGATTTTCCACAGTGCTGGGATCCACAATGTAACCATCCAGCCAGAATACACAGACCAGAAGGAATCCCTGGAGCAGGACTGGATGCTCCTCTGCAACTCGCCCTGCATCTCCAAAGCCTGCAAGAATTATCTCTGCTGCCCTCCAGAGACGCAATCACTTACCCACATCAATGGCTGTACAGAGCCCAATGGTTGCCCCCCAACTGCAACATATAGAAGTGATGGCTTGAGTCGAAATGATACAGTCGCAATTGTCATTGAAGCAGATTGTTTGAGTGACGGTGGGCCAGTTGCTAAACAGACACAAGGAGATCTGATCTTTGTCAATAGCACCCATTTTTAATCTGGTCTCATCATTGAAAGTCAGCTGATTGAGAGAAGCAGCTTAGCCACCAGTCGGCTCCAGATGATCCTTGTGGGAAGGGCTCCCTGAGCTGTTACCACTGACCAAAATTAGTAATGTAATTCTGTGTTAAAATAAGGGGTTAAGTCCTTTTAAAAAAGTTTGGCAATTTTAAGATTCACAAACCCTTCCCACCCCCTCCCAAACCCCCCATCCCATGCAGGTGAATATTGTTGAACTGTTCACGTGTTTACCTGAACATCTCCTCTTTAATCATTTTAGTTTGAACATTTATTTCCTGAGGTAAATTGAAAAAGTATAGAGACAACATGAACTGGAGACTAGAAATTCAATGCTTTTGCAGGACTGGGATTTGACCTTTCTCCCTCTACCCCCATTCCCCTTTTGGTCATTTTTTACTGAATTCTATTTCTAGCCCATTCTGAGGTGAGCTGATGGATAATGTCTATGGATAATGTACTTCATATATATATATATGTATATACATACACACATATACTATATATATGTATATATACATATATATATGTGAAGACCCATAATAGTTGTGTTTTTCTGAGTCCTTATAATGAATTTCACAGTGGTGTTGTACCCTGCCCCTCCATCTCTCCAACAGTTTGGTTCCTCTTTGAAAGAGAAGAAAATGGGGACTCAATAAGCTGGAAAAGACTTTCAGGAACATCAGAAGGGATCATTGAATTCAACAGAAAACATTTTTTTCTTCTTTGATAACATGTTTGCTTTCAGGGGTGGAGGAAAAAAAATGATTCTTGCTTGCTTTTTTTAAAATGAAGACAACCACAGCTATAGGGTCAAGAAGTATTGAGTAAAGTTTTTTCCCCTCATAATATTGCAGGAAAATAAACCCATATTTAGGGTAGCATACATTTCTTGTTTTCAGCAGTCAATCCATTTGAGGCTGCTCCCATTTATTGCTTTGGCCAAGACCTAATTGTTCATCTGAATATGCTTTTAGGTCTTTTCTTAGATGATCACATTGTGTTCTGTGTGTCATTGACTAGGGGAAGATGGACATTATCCAGATTTTATAATATAAAACATTTTAGTTTTTCATTCCTACTGAATAAATAAGCTAGCTTGTAGTTTCATTCTCATTTCAGGTAATTGCTTTTCCTTTAATTACACACATTTTCATGTATTTATTTAACTTTCCTTTTTAGCAATTTGATAAGAAAAATTTAGGTTAGAAGGGAGAAATGCAGATTTATTTAATTTTAACTCTGAATGTATTCTGAGGGATTTCAAATTTTCTTTTGTTTCTGAACCTCCCATCCAATTGAAACAGACACACGATTAAAATATGGTTTCAATTTGTTATTGTTGAAGGCCGCACTATTTTTATAATTATTATTCAAATATCAGTGTTTTAATGGGGTATAAAGATGAGGACACTGTCTCAAAGGAGTTTTAGGAATTGGATAAGCTTGGAGCTTCCCAGGATAGGTGACAGGTTAGGTGAGATGAAACTTCTTCAGGCAATTTAGATTTGAGTCCTTTAATATGCACAAGGGATCTCCTGTAATGCAAAGTTGGAAAAGGCAATAGCTTTTCCAATTTAAGATAGACTATTTTGTATTCTCTTAGTGAGTTGTAGAGGCAGGAACAAATTACACTAGTGTAGATGAAAGATGGAATTGCACACTTGTTACTTCTTGAAAATATATCCTATTTTCGTATCCAAGTCTTCTGCCATGAGAGAGGTAAATGGAAAAATTACCTACATATGTTTTTATCCCCTAAAGAGTATTTCTACTCTTTTAGTAGATATGGCAATATGCACTTTATAGCTTTTCAGAAAGTTTCTATAGCAAAATTGAACTTTTTTTTTTAATGTAAGAGTATGACACAAATGGACACAAACTAGGGAAACTATGTGAAGTTTATAGTGCTAATATTTTGGACACATTCTATTATTTTAAATATTAACAAGGGCGGCAAGCCTGCAACCAAAGAAACAATTGAACTTTTCTTGTCAATTTCACGAGACTTCAACTTTTCTAACATTCTGGCAACACTGGGGTGGTATAGAGTTTTATGTGAAAACTGTTTTAATAGATTGTATATTGGCTTGCACCCAAATAGTTTTTAAAAGATATGTATGTGTGTGTGTGTGTGTGTGTGTGTGTGTGTGTACACATACATATAAAATTCTGTGAGGTGCCTATTTTGAAATGTGGGGAAAAACCCTATCTTCAACATAGTTAAGTAGAACTTAAGAAAATATCTCCCATTCTTACTGCTAAAAGTACCTAAACAGTTTATTAATCGAATATTAATGTACTACTTCAATTCAGTTTGACAAACATTTACTAAGCGGCTGCTCTGTACAAGACACTGTGCTAGGCACTGCACTGGTTGATATCATCAAGAATGCTAAATAGTTGGACAACTATGAAATGCATTCTTTTTAATTTCTGATTACATAGATTTTTTTTTCTAATGTAGAAAAACATTGCACTTGTCATTTCTCAATTTGGCAGACTTTTCCCTTCTCCATTTTGTACCCTTGTCTTAATATATGGGAGTATTTTCCCCAAATCTCTATTCCTTCTCACCCCACTGCCATCTGCAAAGCTGTCATTGGCAGCAGCAACAAAACATTTCCCTGAAGTCAGGAAAATATCTCTTGGTTTGATATTTCTTTTTGTCTGGGGGAATACCTGAAAATGATTTTATGTTTCAAAGGAAAATAATTTTCAGAAGTTCTCCGAGAATGTTTGATGTGTGTTAGTTTGAGGCAAGCTGCTATTATCACACTGTTATGCAATAAGAGAGTATAGCATTATTCAATGCTGCGGGTTACATCCAGCCCTTAACGTAGTGCCTGGTGCATAGTAGGTGCTTATTAAATGCTTGTTGGCTTGACTTAGTCAAGTATAGTCAATATTATGAATCAGGAGGTACAAGAATTAGGAGAATCTGTGGAGCTAGGACCAATAATGAGGGACTATATGAGGTAGATTTTGGTTTAACATGACAAACAATTTTTATGACAAATAGAGATGTTTACAAATGGAATGGACTGCCTTATGAGCTCTGCATCACTGAAAGTGTTCAAGCGGAAACTTGATAATCATTCATCAGACAACTAGCGAGAGAATATACCTAGAGAGAAAATACCCTTTTCATTATTTTGGCACCAGTTCAAGGAAACATTAGGTCTGCTTTTATTTTCAACTTTATTTTTAGAATAAAGGAGTAGAGAGTTGGTACTGCAATGGTCTTATGAGTCCATCTAATCCAACCTTACCATCTTATAGTTGAGGAAACTGAAGAAATTCTATGACTTTCTATGCTCAAGGTCACACAAGTAATAGTCATTAGAGGCAGAGTTTGAATGTAGGTAATCTGATTACAGAGCCTGGGGGTATTTCTCTCTCCTGTGCTGCCAGTGGACAAAAGACAAGATTGCTAATGATAGGTGCTTCTTTATCAATTCTCTATTAAATAAATATTGGATATAGAGTTAATACCACCAAGGTTCACTTATATCAGGGCAGTTTTATTACATCATCCTTTCTCCCATGTTATTGATAAAGTGTCTGTTCAAAAAGGAGAGAAATTATTTAAGTAAATATGTTAGGAAAGAGATGGCTTGCATTGCGTCCACTTTTAGAAAATGATTAATTCAAACAGGCAACTAAATAAAAGCAGCATGGTGCAGTGGAAAGGGAGCTGGGTTTGGAGCCAGAGGACTTGGGATCGACCTTGGACAAATTGCTTAATCTCTGGGCCCTATTTTTCTCATCTATAAAATGGGGGAAAGAGGATGGAAAGTGTTCAACTGAATGATCCCCAAGATGTCTTCTGACTCAAAGTGTATAACGTCTATCTATATTTACAATCATGTTTTCTTCACTGGCTGAGAAAAAACAAACAAACAAACCATGTATTTCTGAATAAACCAGGAGACATAGGAATTAGGAGAATTTGTGGAGCTAGGACCAGTAATGAGGGAATATATGAGGCAGATTTTTGTCTAATATGACAAAAAATTATGACAATTATAGATGTTCACAAATAGAATGGGCTACCTTATAATAATGCCTCTGTCACTGGGAGTGTTCAAGCAGAAACTTGGTAATACGTCCAAAATATCTACATAAAATCAATTAAATAATGTAGAAAAACTACATTAAATCAAATGACATATAAAGTCCCTTCAATTCTCAAAATCTGTGATCCTATGAAATGAACAGATTCTTTGAAAAATCATTTTTTCCAGAGAATTGTATTTTCAAAAATCATTTTATTTTTGATTTTGATCATGATCTTATTTATATTTTATTTAAGGCACTGGAACTTAAATAAAAATCTAGAAGTTGATGAAACACAGATCTATTACAGGGACAGACAATAAGTGAAATAGAAGTTGAAGAATTTGGTTTATTACCTCAGTGCTTCATGATTATTAGCTTAAATTCAATAGTATTAGCCTGGTCAATTCAGCCCAATATCTAGTAAAGACAGTGAAAAAAATTAGTCTAATTGTCAATTTTTAATAAGGTATTGAAGAAACATCCGCTTTTTCTATCTGATAAAACAAAACAAAAAAATACTCTCATATTGGGTAGCTAGCTACAAATCATTCTTGTTTATAGCTCCTAGTGAGCAGTTCATCCAATTTTATCTACTGCTAGCTAAGAAGTTACTCTAAAAACTTCCTGGTCATTTATGCCTAACTTTATCCTTTCCCTGATATTTATTTTTATATGTTAAGTATCTATATCCTAACTTTACTTCTGTAGAATCAAACTTTCAAGATTAAAGTTTCATTTTTATCATCTTTATAATGGGAAAGATCTTTTTTTTTGAGTGGGGAAAAATGACTTGGTTAGAATTTCATTTTTTCTCAGATATGTAATTAATTGATCACTGCATACCTTGTTCTATAGCTTCATGGTGCCTCTGTGCCTTCTATCCGAGCTGCTCAATGTATTTGTAGCTTTCAGGTAGGTTAGGGTGTAGAACTGCTGATAAACAAAACCATCATCAGACTGTAAGCATCCCTGTGGCATTTAAACATTTTGATTGTGCTAATGTCTCCCTGATGCAGGATGTATCATGTGTTTGGTGCCTCTGACCGTTCAGGTATTTTATTCTGGATCAGTTTGTTGAGATAAGATTTTATCAAATATTCTATGGTAGAGGAATCAGAAATCTTCTCTTTCTGATTCCCAGAAATTGTTCCTGGGCTGTGACTTGCAGTGGGAGCCTATCTGAATAGGACAATATTTTCCAAGGAAGGGGTGGTGGAGCCTCAGTGGAGATGTGAGCCTTTGTAACAGTATTGTGGAGTTTTGTTGCCTAAAATCTTTCTTTGGTCCACATGGACAGTTTTTTGCCAAAATGTAACTGACATTAGGGAGAAAACCTTTATAAATCTCTCCAATGTTAAGGTTTGATAACTTGTTATTAACCTG